TATATATATATCAACAGGAGTTATGAATTATGTATATCCAAAGCCTATATAAATTAGATTTTGAAGAACAAGTGTCACAGTAGTCAGGCGGGTCATAATAAGACATTCCATGTGAAATGTAGAAACTACCTTGAATAAATTATCCATAAGTTAACACTCTCATTAAAATGACATATTTATTATTTCTGGGTTTGTGACGTTGCTTTAATGCATTTTGACTAACTGTTCTAACTGTACATTAAGAAACCATTTCAGGCCATTTTTTTCCCCTACTGGAATTAGCAGACTTTTATTTATGTTTGAACTAAAATAATTTTAAATAATGTAACATTATAAAACAATCACCCACTTCCCAATGTAGAACACTATTTTCTTCTTCCCATAAATGTTTAATTAAAGCAGGATATAACTCAGTAATTATTTTTGCACAGAATGACTCTAAAATTAATAGTCAATTGTAAGACTAAAAAATTGGGAGACTGACAATCAAAACAATCTTAAACGCTTTGTTTATGTGATGAAAAGGAGTGATCCTTTAATTCTTTCACACACATTAAAATGATTTCACAGACTTTCTGTACTGGTGTTTAACATAGTCAAGTGCCTGAGGTTACCTAAAATAAACAGTCTTGAGATCTTATTGCAAATGTTTGCAATTTATGATGTAAACTGATTTGTGAAGAAATAACAGGATCCCATGTCTCTGAAGCCAAAAAAGCATTTTTCAGAAATCAAAATAGTTCTGAAATTTGAGCATTGCATTATAGTAAAGTATTACCAGCTGAGGATCTCAAAGTTCTAAATCTGGGGGAAAACTCAGAGTAGATATATATCATTTCAGCTTCAAGCAAAGGGCTGCTAACTGAAAAGTTGGCAGTTCGAATCCACCAGCAGCTCCATGGGATAAAGATGTGGTAGTTTGCTTTCTTAAAGATTTCAGCTTTGAAAACTCTATGGGGCAATTCCACTCTGTTCTATAGGGAGTCGCTGTAAGTCGGAGTCAGGTAGATGGCAATGTGTTTGGTTTTGGTTTTGTTCAAACAAAAGCCTCGGATCTTACTGGGCCTCTTGTATTATAGGATCCTTAACACTAATGATGTCTTGAATAATCTCATTTAACTCCGTTTCCCCCAATTACGGATTTGGCAGCTCGGGAAGGTTTTGCACGCGCCCTGAAAGTACTGAGGGGAAAAGAGTCTTTATTAATTATTTATTATGAGTATTGAGTTTCGACCAAGACAATGCATGTTGGGCCTTACTTCAATTTAGAGTGAAGACTTCCTCTGACTTCTCAGAGTGGCCCCTGGGACTCCGGGTGTGGACCTCTCACTTCCACACCCAGGCGCCCTATTTGGGCTGCGGCGCTCCCGGAAAGAGGCCCAGTGTGACCTTGGTGGGAGGCTGGGTTCCCAGGGAACAAGCTGCGAAGGGCAGGGGAGGTGGCCTGCGCTCTCCCCAAGTCTCGGGGGGAACCGAAGCGCGAGGAGGCGAGGACGCCGTCAGCGCCCCCGGCGCGCGGTCTCTCTGGCCGCGCCTCGCTTGCGTACCGCACACGTGGACGACACCGTGACCTTCTCGCTGGGCCAGGCTGAACTCTCCACGCCGGACCCAGGACGCGTACTGGCCCCAGGCCGGGCTGGACGCACCGCCTCGTTTGATCTGAGAGTTGCCGGGAGTCCCGCTCCGGGGCACCGACTGGGCTCCGCGTTCTCGGCACCTGCCGAGGGCCGAAACAGAAGCACCATCTCCCCAGCTCCAGTTTTCCTCCGGTGACCTCAGACCTGCCTCGGGGTCGCGGGGACAAGGTCCGAGGCCTCAGTGGGGGAACCAGCATGTTGGGACCCAGACTCTGGCGATGACGGGGTAGGCGACGTGGCTGCTCACGAGCGCACCCCGCCCCCAGGCCGAGGTTTATTGTGAAACCGCGGATGTTCATCAGCCCGGAGCCCTGCAAAGCCTGGCACAGCCCATGGTCTGAGCCCTGTTCTCTGGTCTATGAAAGCTTCTGGACATATCTAAACAGATCCCCTACATCCAGGCGGAAGGATCGCTGTGAACGCGAGCTCAGCCCCTGGAAAGGGCCAAGTGGGGCAACGGGAGCCCAGCAGGGGCACAAGTGTCTTGGACCGAATCGACTTAGCTCTCCACCTGGCCCAATTGGGCTCCTGGGGAACGCTAGCGACAGCCCCAGTATTTCCAGAGAGTCGCCTCCTCCCCCACATCCCAACAGCCGGCGCTGGAGGGAAGGTTCAGTCCTGGGCCTGGCCAGGGCCGCGTCTGCACAATCTCTACCCACCTCCCACCCCAGACAGGCAGCTCTTTCTTGTTTTACTAGTGAGATTTCTTTTGGGAAAAGAGATGAAGGAGGGCTCCTCGGTGTTCAGAACACTGGAAAGATCAGGCTTTTCTTAAACATCATCCAAGCTTGTACCTACTAAATTTAACCAAAAAAGAAGCGCTAGACCAGAGAGGGAAGTGGGAGGTCTGGCCTTCACAAGCCCCCACCCCGCTGGTCTCTCTACGCGGCTCTTACCCAAAGCAGCGCGGTCTGGCTCGGGAGACACTCTTAGGGCGGAGTGCAGATTATGCCAAACACATCCACACCAAATCCAGGTGGATTTCGCATCGCGTGATCCTACACCTCTCCTCTCCACACACACACACACACACACACACACACACACACACTCCCCAATAAACTTCATTGGATAGACGTATAAACTTCAAGGGTAGACGTGTAGCAAATGGAAGAACGAGAGTCCATCTGAGGGAAGGAGGTTATTCTAGTCTGTTATTTACTTTATACCTGTTTCTTTATTGATTTAGTATAAAATCAATCCGTTTACTATGCTGAGTGGATAATGGGAGGGGGGATGCGCACTGAGCTAGTGCAAGCCACAAAGCCATTTTTTTCACGACGGCCCCTTGACTGCGGTACAAAGGAGCAGAGGCTAACGCTTTTCCAAGTTAGGACATTCGAGATATAGATAGACATTCATCAAAAAGGAAGAAGGAAAGACTATCCCGGATATTTTAATAGCCAACAGGAACAAAGATGACGCGAACTCCATCAAATGAAACAATACTATTTTCATTCAATTGATCGCAAAGTGTCTTCAATTAATAACTTGGCACTTATTTAAAAAGTTTAACAGAGGTGAAACTGAAACATTTTGTACCAACAACACGTCATGAAATAACAGCATCTTCTTTTGTTTAAAATAACTTAATACACTAGAAAAAATATGGCAAATATAAATAAGTTTGTTTTCATGGAGAACAAATAGTTACAAAGCTCAACTGCATACCAAAGTTCAATGAGAAGAGCTTTTCCTTTTTCTTGTAAATAAACAAAAAACATAGAGGCTTGCTAGAGAATTGGCATACAGTTTGCTTAGTCCAAGATACTCCAGTTTAAATAGCTACATGAATTGAAACAAACAACAAAAAGATTACTTGGATATACCTTTGTGACATAAAATGCAAATGTTGAAAGTCAACCATCAGTTCACACATTATAGCCAAAATAAACTTTGTTCGTGTGTATCAACATATTTTACACAAATCTAGTGCCTGGATCTAATCTAGCTGGGTGTTAAGGTGAAGTTGACGGGATATAGAGGGGAAAATAAAGCACGGTCCTCAAATAGGGTTTCAGGATACCAGCAAGAGGGAATACAAGAAAAGGGGAGCGGGAAGGGACTACCATTTTACTGAGCGCCTTCTATGTGTCAGGCACCGTGCAAGGCGCTGTACCGTCATTATTTCATTTGCTCATCCTGGTTTCTTTTTCTTTTCCCCACATTTTCTGCCCACCTTCGTCTTCTTGGGACAACCAGAATGTAAATATTCTCCCGTTCCGACTTTTTCATTTTGTCCACAGGACTGAGGATTGGGCAAAACAAAACATATATATATAATATACATATATATACGTATACATATATATGTATACGTATATATATCAGTTTACCGAAGCTTTTTTTTTTTTTTTTTTTTTTTACTGTGGGTGAAAATGGAGTGCAAGTGAGTAAAGAGTGGGGAAGGGGGTAGACACCATCAATGGAATACAAGTAACATGCAAACCGGAATTTGCTGTCAGCAGTCCGGACAGTTTTGCCAATATATTTTCTCAGAGAAATCTTTGTGGCATTTTTTTATATTATCATTTTTTTTATCTCCTCGTTTTTGTTCTGCCGTCCCTCTTCTTGCTCTTCCATACATGGTGAGTTTAAACCGAAAGCATCTGATTCAACGTAAAAGGAGGCCCGCCTCTCTTATCAAATTTCTTGTATTAAAGTGAATTTCGCAGAAAAAAGGTCAGTTTCAAAACCTGTGAACTTCCCAGCTGCATACTTTTTCTCATCTTAATTATTTAAATAAGTATACCTCTTTCTTTTGTTTTGCCTTCTTAGCCCATTAAAAAAACACACACTTTTAAGTTGTTAACTCCCCCCATTCTCTCGAGATTCGTCCAGGTTATTTTTCCATATTTTTAAAATGTATAAAATAATTTTTAAAATATTTTGATCCTTGGTTCTCTCTCCGATTTCAGCTTCTGCCAAATAGCAATAAGTTCACTTTCTCTTTTTCTCTCTGATTTGTCTTTTCTTTTTGTTGTTGTTTGCTTGTTTGTTTTTGTTTTTTGCTCATTTTTACTACCAGGATTTTTATTTCTACGCAAGGGTCCATCGCTGCAGCTTTGCCGTGAGCCACAACTCCGCTGTCCCACTCTTTTGTCCAGTCTCTCTCCAGACTTTCCAAACCCGCCCCTACGAAGTCGTATTCTAGGCTCCCGGGTGGGTGAGTGATCTGAAATCGCCGAGCTGGTGCGCCTAGCGGTAAGCGGATCAGCGCGGAGTCCGGCCCTCCCAGCTCCGGGTGCGGAAGGGGGCGGGGCCGGGTTCTGGGGCTGGAAGGTTAACCGAAAAGCGGCGGGAGCGGAGGGCGTGCAGGCTGCGTGCCGCGCCGGAGGCGCGACATTGGCGCTGGCGTTGGCGTCACAGACCTAGGGCAGCCGCGTGCTTTTTGGCTTTCAGTCTGAGATCGGCAATGCTGGAGTTCTTGCTGGTGGTCTTGGCGGCGGCGGCTGCTGCTACCACCGAAGCGGCCGAAGCCGAGTCGGCCGCCAGCGTGGCGAGCGGCAGTCCGAAGGGCGGTGCCGGGAACATCATGTAGGGCGCGTGCGCGGCCAGGTGCGGGTGCAGGTGGTGGTGCGCGTGCGCTACGGCGCTGTCCAGCTGCAGCTGCGCCTGAACCTGAAAGGACAAGGGCGTCACGTTGCAATGACTATCCTAGGATGACAACGAGAATAGAAACAGAACATTAACGGCGTCCAGCTTGACTCGGGAGAGGGCGAGGGGTTGGGGGCCGTAGGGGATCATTTAGCTGCTCATCTTGCCCTGAAAATGACCTTCTCAGCCTGTTTCTGAATCTGGGGCGCCACAGGATATTTCAGTGGTTTAGGTCTCTGCACCTCTCTGTGTGGGTTATCTTTCTGTACCTCGGGGACCCTCGTCTTCAGGAATGTGCCCGCTCCCTAGGGGAACTGGGCCGAAAAAAGGGCGACAGTACAATTGTGCTAAAACCTCACCCTCCTCAAAATAACAATAGTACATTGGAAAAACTAAGCGCTAGAGCGGTTAACCCCTTTTTCTATCATAAACCTCTTTCCTCGCTACCAATCAGAATCAGTTTGATGGCAGTGGGAAAGCAAAGAATTGACAATGAGTGAACTACAAAACTTTTCTACGTCACTTAGAGAAGTTATTGCATCTTCCCCACAATTGGCACAATTGGCAGTCAGTATTTCTCAATGATTACTGCTGTAAGAATTACCTGGGGATCTTGTTAAAAATGCAAACTCACACTCAGCAGGTCTAGTGTGGGGCCTGAGGTTCTGCATTTCTAACAATCTCCCAGTGGTGCTAAAGCTGCTGACCTGGAAGATCTCAATCTGAGTAGTAAGGGTTTCCTTCTAAAGGTTCCCGTTCACTTCAAAAGCCTAACAGCAGGGTGCCAGAGTCCTGTGGTGCCAACAGAGCTAGTATCTCTTTAGTACTAACACTCAATACATGGGTGCAACCAGGTGCCTCCTCAGACCAGGGCACGGGGGGACTGAGCACTAACTCATGCCATCAAGCCATACCAAACAGGCTTCCCAGTCAAGGGTTGGGAAGGTCAGGCACTGGTTTGGGAAAGGATTGCATCCTCAGGCTCTGAGAGTGAGTTCAGAGCTCCAGGATTTCCCAGGATTCAATCATTGCTGCAGGCCGTCCTTTTAAAAGGTAGTCTTAGAGCTTTCTTTATGGCTAAGAGAGGGATTTTGGAGGTAGGGCAGCCCTGGGAAGACCAAGACTTTCCTTTACCAGAGAGGAAGCTTTGGTTACAGAGAAAACATTTGAAAATCAAATTTTAGTTGGGAGGACTTTTATTTATTTATTTTTCTTCTGTCAGAGACATTTAATGTGACTAAGAAGTGGAAAATTCCTAGAAAAAAATATTTAGAAGGTTGCCTTAGAAACACTTTAGGACTAACCTCTGTATTGGATCCGACAAAGTCTTAATCAAAATGCTTTTCCTTCTCTCCAAGTGCAATCTTCAATGCATTTTTAAAGTTATTGCCCTGAGGGTTTTGTGGGGTTCCAATAAGCACAGAAAGGACAAGGCATGCAAGACCCTGACACTGTATAGATTTTTAAAGGGGAGTGGCTCCACTATATCATCTTAGAATTGATTCTCCAACTGCTCAGACACAAACATTAGGACTCAGAGAAGTGATATTTAACAATTCAAGCAAATATCCATGTCTTTTTACTTAAAAAAAAAATGTTTGAAACTAGGCTGTACTTGCCTGCTGAAATGGCATCCTTAAAGCACCTACATTGACATAGGGTGCAACTCTACAAGCTTCAAACTGGCTGGCAGCTCCTATGAGGACACCTACAAAAATGGAGGGAACAAAACAGTAGTATTATGAGGTTAATAGCTCCAGCACAGCCTTCCAATATTCCAGATGGTACTGAGATAGAACTAATTCCTTTAAAAATGGCTTATGATGCCCTAATTAAAATACATGTAGTTTTGGACATGGTGAATGGGGAGTGAAACTAAATGTACACGTAACATTGAATGTAAAACAAGCTCTTAAAATTTAAAAAGTAAAATAAAATACTTGTAGTTTACCCCCAAACCTTAGGATACTCATTAATTGCCTTCAGAACAGATTAACTCAAGAACATGGGTCATCCTTAAAAATTGTTTTGATCTTTATAATGACGATATTCTCCAATTCTCTTTTTACAAATTTTAGTATCAAATTTTCCTCATATGAGCAGCATACCTTTATGGAGCTGGTTTTCTTGTTTTCTACATTTAGCTCTTCGGTTTTGAAACCAAACCTACAAAGTGGAGGGAAAAGAATAAAACCTAGGTATTATGACCCGAAGTTTAAAATTACAAGACTACAGAAGACATTAAAAAAAAGTAGTGTTTTAGGTAATGATTGGGAGCTACAGCAAGCAATCTTTCAATTATACAGAAAAGCCTCAATTTTCAAAGTTAAAAATGTAAATAAACTGCGAAAAGAAAATAGATTTCATAGGCTTTTGCAAGATAAAGTGTTTCTTGATAAATTATTATTTGTCTTGGTTTCACCTTTTCACATTACAGAGTCCCTAAGGCCTAAAAACTCTCCCTGATATCTGATACCAATGTGATAATGGATTTAGATGTTTGTCCAGTAAGATCTGAAAAGAATGTGCTCATTAATAGCCTGTAATATCAATTAGCGTCATCTTCAAGAAAAACAAACACCAAAGCAAATAATGATTCTGCTTTTTTGGGGGGGTGAATATTAGGAGTAGGGGAGACATAATTAGTGTCATAAAAGCCTCACTACAAGTTCAGAGTTTCTCTGTACCTCTGTACAGCAGAGTGTAACGCAGTAGCAGAATAATTGTGGCATTATCACGATAATCTAATTTGCTTCTATAGAAAAAGCTGCTGTTTGCAGTTAGGGTATTAGAGAAGCATCTGGAAAATAGCTCTAAAACTTAAATAAAAGTATGAAAAAAAAAGGAACAAAAAAGTTCACTTACTAAAAGGGAGGGAGAACATTTTACTGTGGGGGGGTGGAGTGTGATCAAGTAATTCCTGGATACCACCCTTTCCCGGATATTACCTTTTTAAATAAACTTGCCAACTTTTAGAGGCAGTATGACAGGCTTTTTCAAATTCAAATATAGCTTCTTTTATATTTCAGTTCCAGTAATACAGTACATTGACTGGTTTGTATATTAATGCAAAAATGCAAGAAGGTAAAATATTACTTCAACACTAGTTCTGGTAAGATTGTGAAAACAAGAGTCACAATCAGTGTAAATCTTCAAAAATTCCTCTGCCATCTAGTGTAATAGGAGTGTGGATTTTGTGCCAGGGTGTTGTCCTTTGTGTAACTCACATGGCCTAGGCTTCTTGTTTCTTTTTCTCCTAGAAGAATTGGGACTAATACTAATACTCATAATTATAATGATTATTATCATGTTTTTAAAGGATTACAGAACCTCTAGATATCTCAGGGTACATAGTAAAGCAAGAATGGCTTAAAAAGGAAAGCTGTGCTGTTGATGCACAATATGATGACCAAGGCAGCCTATTATTACTTTTTTCCTTCAACATGACTGCTCTGTTTTTGTCCTGATCCTATTACAAGACATGAGGAAGCCCCATAAGAATTGCGCATAGTTCGCTGCAGATGGTGGTCTCTGCGCCCAGAGACCCAGGGAGTATCTGTTACAGCCATACTTTGTAACAGCTGCAGATGTTCGGAGCCTAAAACTGCTCCATGTGTTCAGAAAAATAATGACCATAATTTTTTCCTACTTTATTATTTGAGCGGAAATATTATCTGAAGTATTTAAATTTGTCTCCATAAACCTGGAAGGATATGTGTATACACACACGCACACATGCACCTATATTTCTTTTAAGTGCCCCCCCCCCAAACCTGCTTATATTATTACATTTACCTCTATAATCAGTAAAGAAAATGCACTCCAACCTGAACTTCATTGGGTATTACACCTGCTAGGGGGTCAGACTTTGAAAATGCTGATATTAAGATATGAGGATTGTTGTTTTAAAATTGAGTTTCTGTAGGTCCAAGTTCATTCCTTGATTAAATGAGTGAACAAAGAATGACCAAAATTCATTTGTTTCTCCACTATCTCACACGCATTTTGAGATCAACCGCTAACGGCTGACTGTAAATTTCTGCACTTAACAGTTACTAATTTATTTTATAGTCTGTACATCTATAAACTTAATTGGCACATCCGCTTGGCAAATCTAGACCCTGAAGCAGACCCTCGAGAAACCCAACTCGCACAAGCAAAATATCCGTTGTAACTTTTAAAGCATTCAAAGATAAAACGTTTTCTGTGGGATTTTTTTAAGGCTTATAAAAGTAGGCCCATTAGGATTAAACCACATTAAAGCCAGCACTAGGCGAAGGGGGGAGGTGTGGTTTATAGAAACTCTGGGAGCAAGCCCAGCACAGCTTTCTTCTGCTGGGAACATATGTTGGAGGGAAAAAAAAAAAAAGGCTATAGCACCAAAATCTAGTTTGAAAAATGTAACATCCCTTTTTTTTTCTCACCTCAAACCAAACACTTTAACGGGCACCCTGGAATGTGTCCCCAAGTCGCCTTCCCACCTCCAGAAGTGCCCACCCTCTTCACTCTCTGGGCCCTGGCTGAACCTCTTCACAGCCCCGGTACCTGCACACGGGCCTCGGACAGGCCCAGCCGCTGGCTTAGCTCCTCGCGCATGAAGGCGTCAGGGTAGTGGGTTTCATCAAATAGCCTCTCCAGCTCGTTGAGTTGTTCTAGGGTGAAATTGGTCCGACTTCGCCTCTGCTTGATTTTAGTCTGACCTTCGTCCTCCATCCCTTTTGCATCCTCTTTGCGATCCTTCAGCTCCGGGGACACTGGAGGGAGCACCACGTATGGGGCCACATATGCGTTCAGGCGCGTGCACACCAACACACACAAACACACATACACACATAAACACACACGGACAAAAACAACATAGCAAATCCCATCACTAGGTATGTCTCAAAGAAGGAAGGAGGATCCAGCCACCTCCCCAAAGTCCCATCCAGCCCCCCCCCCCAGGAAGAGGGTCTTGGACAAGCACAAAGGTCAAGTCTATGTGGCCTCCAAGGGCAGGGTGGGCATTCACCTCCCCTCCGCAATCTGTGTCCTCAGCTCACCGTTTCACTGTCCACTCCATAGTCTCTTGCCTATGACCAACAACACCAAACCTATATCACTCACCCTCTCTCGCACTCACTATCTTCGAAGCACGCTGAGAAATCAAAAGGGCAGCGCCAGGCCCCTTGTGGAGCGCGGTCCCGGCTGAAGGACGCTGCGAGGCCACTCACTGGCCTCTCACATCCGCAATTCCCAGAGGGCTAGGCCCTTCCCGGCCAGCTGTGACCGCCGCTGGCTTCCTGCCTCCTGCAAACTTGCTGATCTAATTTGGGAACAATTGAGCCGAAGGGTCGCGGCTGGAGAGAGAGACCCTAGTGCTGCATGGTTCAGGGAGCGGCATCCCGGGCAACCCTGCGCCTCCGCCGAGCTTCGGCCAAGTCCTGCAGACGGCCCTGCAGGCAGCCGGGCAGTCCCAGTCCCCCATCCCGAACCCAGGCCGCCTGAATACAGGCGCCCACGCCATGTTGGCGGCCTGGAGGGCTCGCCGCCCACGCCAGGCCAACAAACTAAAGGCGGAAAACCAGCCTCGGTGGCCGAAGAAACCGACCACTGCTCTGTCTCTCCTTCTCCCTCCCCCCGTAGAAACGCAGACTCGACCCTAAATGCTTAAACCCACAGAGATCAACAGGTTCAAGCAGAACATTCACGGTCCTCGGTTTCTATTGGTTGCTCAAAGCCTTTTCATGCATCCAACAGCTCGGATGTTTAATAAAATATGCATTTTTCTGCTCTGGGTTTGCACACATCCGTTGATACGTTCCTGTCCTTCCTTCTCTTCCTTTTTAGAAGCAGGAGCTCTGAAAGCGTGAGCATACGGAGCCACCCGAGGTATATACTATTATTACTATTATTAATTATTAATATTATTATTATTGCCAAGGGGCAGTGAGCAAGGGAGCCGGTATCAACCTAAACTGCCCTCTATAAACTTCCTCCCCTGCGCCCAAGTCGGTGACTCGACTTTTAAGGTGTCAAAGCTTAGTTTGGATAGTCGAGACGGCTTGCAGTTCTTCTTAGTCCAAAAATCCCTATTAGTATGGGTGTTAAAAGTCATATCCAGAAGAGTCTTTGCAATATAATTCCGGTCTGCAGAGAAAGTAACATTTGCCCTGAGCTAGAAAGTCAACAATCCCAGGGACTGTGCCCGCCTGGGATTCAGACCCGAACCTCATGGTCTGGAGCGCTAGAGAGCCAAGGGCCTGAGACTTCGGACCTACACGGGGGAAGGAGAGGAGAGGACTGCCCTGGGGGTCCTGACAGCTGTGCGGTCTTTCCCCAAATTTAGGAGTATCTGGAGCCGGATTTGGAAGGAGAGAAGAATCTCTAGACTTCAACCCACCCTGGCCTTCCAACTGCGGTTATCTTAAGTTTTGCCTGCATTTCTAATTCTCAGAGTTCGTTTTGTGGACATCTGCCCTTCCTCTGGGAAGGAAGTGGACACTATAGCTAACATTCGGGTCCAATTTAAGAGAAAAAATATTTCCACAGATATTGTAGTGAAATTTAAATACGAAAACACTTCAGATTCTGCCAAAGGGATGAGAAGGCTTTGTCTATGTCACGTCATCCAGGGTGTATGGATGCCTTTCAAACTTTGCAGCTTCACGGAGAAAGATGTCCAAATTTCAAGTTGATTAATAGACTTAATATAATCTCTATTTTGTCCCCAAATTTCCACTTAATGGCCTAAACAGGAACAGACCGTGTTATAAACAACTTAATTGCTTGCTTAAATATGTGATTCTACGCATGCCACATATTTTCTTAATTGGAAAAATATGGCAGCACACCAGTTACTGCAGGCACCAAGTGCCAAATTAATTTTATTGTTGAACTCCTCTAAATTGGTTCAGGACGCACCACCATTTAGATAAACCGGCTTTCTAACACTTCGCTGGCACCAAAGGATCCCCCCCCCCCACAAGACAAGTATTGGACGATACCAAGCAGTAAAGAAAGTGTGTAAACACAGAAAAAACAAACCCCAAAATGGAACCTAAAGGCATCGGCCGGGAGAAAGAACATAGCCCAGATTTTAGCATGCTTAGACCTCATTCTACCTTTGTAGCTCAAATAGAACAGGAAGTTTTGGCCTCCATGATCCATGGTCTGGAACTGGAGGGGTTCTGGTTGCAGCCCATACCTCGAGGGTGACCCGAGGGGGAAGCTAGTGTTTCTCCCTCCCTTTTAAAAAACTGGGCACGAGATGCTACCCTTAATCTGGACGACTGCCTGAGCCCTTGCTAGCACCCGGGTCCGCAGAGCTCGGCCTCGCGAACTTCCCCAGCCACCCGCGGGCCGTCCGGGCTGCAGGCACATCTCCAACTGGTGAAAAATGCTTTTCGGTGGAATGGGAATAGACGGAGCATCTGCGAAGGGCGCGCGCAAATCCCACACACACTCACACTCGGCCCCCCCCACGAACGTGCACACCACCGGACTCCCACCCTCCACCATCACTCTAGCTTGCAAAGCTGGGGACCAAGGGCCCTCTCCACGTCCCGCCCCCTCCCCGCGGGGCCTTGAATCCTCTCTGGCCTTAGAGAAGTAGGGAAGGCAGGGAAGGGGACCGCGGCTGAAGGTCGGGCCGTTACCCTCGGTGAGCCGCGGGCTGCCGGGTTCCCTGCTTCTCTCCGCGGCGCCCATGTCCAGCTCCCGGACAGGAGAGCGCCCTCCTCCTGCTCCTCCGCCTGCTCCTCCTCCTCCTACACCTCCTCCGCCTCCTCCGCCTCCGCCTCCGCCTCCTCCTCCGCCGCCACCGCCTCCGCCGGCCGCCCGGACTGCTGGGCTGCTGCGGTCGTCGCGGCCGGGCTCAGCGCAGCCGGGCGCTTCCTTGGCCCCGCGCAGCGGCCCGCTTTCCAGCACCTCCCGGTATGTGATTGCCTCTTTCTTCTCCTTCACTTTCTGGTCAAAAGACTTGGAGACGAACGCTGTAAGTTCTTCCATCGCCGCCACCGCCCGTCAGCCCCACGCTCAACCTCTCTCAGCCGATCCCCGCTCTTTTTTCCTTCTTCTTTTTTTACTGCTCCAGCCCCCCCAATAATAACACATCAATGGGGCAGGAGGTGGGGGAAGGGGGGGAGGGAGAAGAAGAAGA